CCAGGCCCCTGGAGCCAAGGTCAGCCAGGGAGGCCCTGGTGCCTCCTCTGGGCCTGCTGTAGGGTCCTCAGGTAAGGAGATCTGACAGCAAGCTAGAGCGGCCTCACTTTCCATCCACACAGGCCTTGGTTTGGTCCTCAAACCCCAGCTCCTAGGAGGATCACAAGATTAAGCACAGGCTGAGTAATTTAGTGGGGTCTCAAAATAAAAAACAGTAAAGGGCTGGGGATGTAGCTCAGTGCAAAGACCCTATGTTCAATCCCCAGTACCACAAAAGAAAGAAAGAATTTGGTCACCTCATTTTCATTCAGCCACAGCAAAGAGCAAACACAAATTTGTACATAAAACATGCCAATAAGCTAGGCATGGTGGTGTACACCTATATTCCCAGGACTCGAAGGCTGAGGCAGGAGGATTGCAAGTTCAAGCCCAGCTTTGGCAACTCAGCGAATTAATGAGACCTTGTCTCCAAAAACAAAAGCAAACAAAATACCATGATAACAACTCTGGGAAACAGAGTGGCCCCAGTCCTCTGAAGAGGCTGGATGGAAGCATGGGGACACAGTGTCATTCGTTTTCACAGTGGGACAATGAGACACCTTCATCTTTTTCCATTTCTACATATTTTTTTCTTTAATAAATATTGTTTCCATTATACCAGGTATTTTTAAAAACTAGTGGTGTGCAGGGCCAGGGATTTAGCTCAGTGGTTCTGCTGCCTACCTCGCAAGCATAAGGTCCCAAGTTCGATCCCTGGTACCAAAAAAGAAAACAAAACTAGTGGGGTGTGTGTGTGTGTGTGTGTGTGTGTGTGCGTTTATGACTCCAGATTGAACCTAGGGACTTTGCACTGATCTACATCCTTAGCCCACTTTAAATTTTTTATTTTGAGACAAGGTCTTGCTACATTGCCCAGGCTAGACTCAAACTTGCGATCCTTCTGCCTCAGCCTCTCAGAGTGCTGGGATTACAGGTCTGTGCCACCACATCCAGCCAAATTTCAAGACTGAAGGAGACTTCAGCCTGATTTTCTAGGTCCCTGGGTATTTGCTATTTTGTGCATTAAATTAACATATGTACATACATCCCCACACACATGCACTTTTGAAAAGGGGCTATCAACTGAAATTTGCTTTTTCCTTTTTTTCTTTACCTAAAATATAAAGGTGCACACAGTTTCTGGGGGGCTTCTAGACTGAAGGAGGTGTTGACTTTTGCAGATTAGCCACTCTAACACTGAAAACCGTCCCATACAAGATGAAGGCGCCCACCCTCAGGCACCAGTGAGACCAGCCCTGCCTGGACAGGAGATGCCTGTCCCCCTCCACCCTGTTACCAAAAGCCTTACCCCTCACCCCCACCTTAACAGAGTCCTTCTGTCCCTGCCTTGTCAGTCCTGATCAGTGGCACTTTTGATCTCTTGCTAACTGGTCTCCAGGATGCTGCCCCAGTCTGCC